ATAGTCGTCTCTGTACCACAGTTTGCTTTCAGTAAACACCGACAGCATTCACTGTTAGCATAGCACATCCATGTTAGCAGTGTATAAATGGATGGTTTAGCATATATTAGCACAGGTATCAATAAAGGACTACCGTATTAAACACTTTTACTAACCTCAGGCAGACGGACAGGCGCTCTGCAGGTGGGATTGAGCGCTTGTAATTGGTGTCCAGGCGGGCGATTCTGGGACCGAAGCGGGACAGCAGGTCCTCAAACTGGCCGAGTGAATGACGGTGATAGCGCTGGAATCCGCCGTCATCCAGGCGCAGCTCCTGGAGCAAGTGGTGAAACTCACCAAACTGCTCACGCCTCTGGAGGACCTGATGGACCCAGGTACGGCGAGGACGTCCTTTACGCCGCTACTCTGCTCTCCACAGTAAATAGAGAAGGGAGACTCTCTCTTCAAGCGCTAGCTCGACAGCTGCCATCTCTGGATCTGTAGTTCTCAACTTCACTGGGTATAAAACCAGGTCCACATGCAAAGATGCTGGTAGTTAAGCTTGTACAGGGCCAAGTCTGTAGAGAAGGATTAGAGTAAATATTGTCAACACAGAAACTTTTTGCTGTTTTTCTGCCTCACACATTGTGGTGTCAATATAATACGCTTGTGTGATATGTTTTATTCAAAGGAACACTTTCTTTCTCTCTGTGCTTGTCCTGCTAGACCTTAGTGCAGCGTTCGATACTGTTGACCATAATATCCTATTAGAGCGACATGCTGTAGGTATTACAGGTACTGTGCTGCAGTGGTTTGTATCATATCTATCTAATAGACTCCAATTGGTACATATAAATGGAGAGTCCTCTTCACACACAGAGGTTAATTATGGAGTTCCACAGGGTTCAGTGCTAGGACCAATTCTGTTTACACTATACATGCTTCCCCTAGGCAGCATCATTAGAAGACATAGCATACATTTTCACTGCTATGCAGATGACACCCAGCTCTATCTATCTATGAAGCCAGATAACACACAC